GAAAACACAACAAAAACATAACGAAAACACATCCAAAATACATACGAAAAATACAAAATACGACACGAAATCACAACGAAAAACAACGAAAATACATACAAAACATACATACAAAAACACATACAAAATACATACAAAAACACAACGAAAACACAACAAAATACATACAAAATACATACGAAAACACGACAAAAACACAACGAAAAACACATCCAAAATACATACGAAAACACAAGAAAACCACAACAAAAACACCACCAAAACACAATGAAACCACGACCAAAGCATGACAAAAAATACGATGAAAACACAACCAAAACGCAACCAAAACATAACTACAGAAGAGGAGCAGGTCAGAAACAAGACAAAAACAAAAACACAACCAAAACACAAGGAAACCACGACAAAACCACGACCAAAACAAAATTAAAACACAACCACAGAACAGGAGCAGGTCAGAAACACGAATGAAAAGCAGAGACGGAGCAGATGTGACTCAGACATGATCTTTGTGCAGGTGTCGTTCGTCCAGTACAGCGACGACGCAAAGACCGAGTTCAAACTGAACGCCTACGCCGACAAAGGCATCGCCATGGCAGCGCTTCACCACATCCGCTACCGAGGAGGAAACACCAAAACAGGTACGAAACACCAGAACAGAAACACCAGAAGAGCGAAGGCGTGTGGAGGACGAGGGGGCGGGTACAGCGACTCTGATTAACCCTGGTTTTTGTCTGCCAGGCGTGGCCCTGAAACACACGTATGAAAAGGCGTTCTCGATGGAAAACGGGATGAGGAGGAACGTTCCCAAAGTGGTGGTGGCCATCACGGACGGACGCTCCCAGGACGACGTGAAGATCAACGCCGCCAAGCTCCAGCACGCAGGTACAAGTACACAAACAGAACTACAAATACACAAATACACAAATATAAACTCCAACACGCAGGTACAAATACACAAACAGAACTACAAATACACAAATAGAACTACAGATACACAAACAGAACTACAAATACACAAACAGAACTACAAATACACAAATAGAACTACAAATACACAAATAGAACTACAAATACACAAATAGAACTACAGATACACAAACAGAACTACAAAACACAAATAGAACTACAATACAACAGAACTACAAACAACAAATACACAAACAGAACTACAAATACACAAATACACAAATAGAACTACAACACGCAGGTACAAATACACAAACAGAACTACAAATACACAAATAGAACTACAGATACACAAACAGAACTACAAATACACAAATAGAACTACAGATACACAAACAGAACTCCAACACGCAGGTACAAATACACAAACAGAACTCCAGCACGCAGGTACAAATACACAAACAGAACTACAAATACACAAATAGAACTACAAATACACAAACAGAACTACAACACGCAGGTACAAATACACAAACAGAACTACAACACGCAGGTACAAATATAACTCCAACACGCAGGTACAAATACACAAACAGAACTACAAATACACAAATACACAAATATAACTCCAACACGCAGGTACAAATACACAAACAGAACTACAAATACACAAATACACAAATAGAACTACAACACGCAGGTACAAATACACAAACAGAACTACAAATACACAAATAGAACTACAAATACACAAATAGAACTACAAATACACAAATAGAACTACAAATACACAAATAGAACTACAAATACACACACAAATAGAACTCCAACACACAGGTACAAATACACACAAATAGAACTACAAATACACAAAAGATACACAAATACAAATACACAAATAGAATACACAAACTACACAAATAGAACTACAAATACACAAATAGAACTACAACACGCAGGTACAAATACACAAATCACAGAAACTACAATACACAAATAGAACTACAAATACACAAATAGAACTACAAATACACAAATAGAACTACAAATACACAAATAAACAACACGCAGGTACAAATACAAATTACAAATACACAAATAGAACTACAAATACACAAATAGACTACAAATACACAAATAGAACTACAAATACACAAATAGAAACTACTACAAAATACACAAATAGAACTACAAAACAAATAGAACACAACACAGAACTACAAACTACAAATACACAAATAGAACAACACAACAGGTACAAATACACAAATAGAACTACAAAATACACAAATAGAACTACAAATACACACAAATACACAAATACGAAACAGAACTACAAATACACAAAACACTAAATAGAACTACAACACGCAGGTACAAATACACAAACAGCAAATACAAACTACACAAATACACAAATAGCAACTACAAATACACAAATAGAACTACAATACACAAATAGAACAAATACACAAAATAGAACTACAAATACACAAATAGAACACATACTACAACAGAACAAATACAAATACACAAATAGAACTACAAATACACAAATAGAAGAACAAATAACAAATAGAACTACAAAATACACAAATAAACTCCAACACACAGGTACAAATACACAAAACAGAACTACAAATACACTAAATAGAACTACAACACGCAGGTACAAATACACAAATAGAACTACAAATACACAAATAGAACACACAAATAGACAAATACACAAATACAAATACACAAATAGAACTACAACACGCAGGTACAAATACACAAACAGAACTACAAATACACAAATAGAACTACAAATACACAAATAGAACTACAAATACACAAATAGAACTACAAATACACAAATAGAACTACAACACAACAAATAGAACTACAAATACACAATAGAACTACAAATACACAAATAGAACTACAAATACACAAATAGAACTACAACACACAGGTACAAATACACAAATAGAACTACAAATACACAAATAGAACTACAAATACACAAATAGAACTACAAATACACAAATAGAACTACAAATACACAAATAGAACTACAACACGCAGGTACAAATACACAAACAGAACTACAAATACACAAATACACAAATATAACTCCAACACACAGGTACAAATACACAAACAGAACTACAAATACACAAATAGAACTACAAATACACAAATAGAACTACAAATACACAAATAGAACTACAAATACACAAATAGAACTACAAATACACAAATAGAACTACAAATACACAATAAACTACAACACGTACAAATACACAAACAGAACTACAAATACACAAATACACAAATAGAACTACAACACGCAGTACAAATACACAAACAGAACTACAAATACACAAATAGAACTACAAATACACAAATAGAACTACAACACGCAGGTACAAATACACAAATAGAACTACAAATACACAAATAGAACTACAAATACACAAATAGAACTACAAATACACAAATAGAACTACAAATACACAAATAGAACTACAAATACACAAATAGAACTACAACACGCAGGTACAAATACACAAATAGAACTACAAATACACAAATAGAACTACAAATACACAAATAGAACTACAACACGCAGGTACAAATACACAAATAGAACTACAAATACACAAATACACAAATAGAACTACCAACACGCAGGTACAAATACACAAATAGAACTACAACACACAAATACACAAATAGAACTCCAACACACAGGTACTACAAATACACAAATAGAACTACAAATACACAAATAGAACTACACAAATAGAACTACAACACGCAGGTACAAATACACAAACAGAACTACAAATACACAAATAGAACTACAAATACACAAATAGAACTACAAATACACAAATAGAACTACAAATACACAAATAGAACTACAACACGCAGGTACAAATACACAAACAGAACTACAAATAACAAAAGAACAAATACAACAAAGAACTACAAATACACAAATAGAACTACAACACAACTACAAATACACAAATACAAACTACAAATACACAAATAGAACTACAAAATACACAAATACACAAACAGAACTACAAATACACAAATAGAACTACAAATACACAAATAGAACTACATACAACTACAAATACACAAACAGAACTACAAATACACAAATACACAAATATAACTCCAACACACAACAGGTACAAATACACAAACAGAACTACAAATACACAAATAGAACTACAAATACACAAATAGAACTACAAATACACAAATAGAACTACAAATACACAAATAGAACTACAAATACACAAATACACAAACAGAACTACAACACGCAGGTACAAATACACAAACAGAACTACAAATACACAAATACACAAATTATAACTCCAACACGCAGGTACAAATACACAAACAGAACTACAAAACACACAAATAGAACTACACAAATACACAAATAGAACTACAACACGCAGGTACAAATACACAAACAGAACTACAAATACACAAACAGAACTACAAATACACAAATACACAAATAGAACTACAACACGCAGGTACAAATACACAAACAGAACTACAAATACACAAATAGAACTACAAATACACAAATAGAACTACAAATACACAAATACACAAACAGAACTCCAACACGCAGGTACAAATACACAAACAGAACTACAAATACACAAATACACAAATATAAACTACAAATACACAAATAGAACTACACAAACAGAAACTACAAACACAGTACAAATACACAAATAGAACTACAATACACAAATACACAAATAGAACTACAACACACAAATACACAAATAGAACTACAACACACTATTTTAATATTATTTATAAAATCTGTTGTTTCTGATTTTTTTTCCAAGGCTGGAAATCCCACCCAGACCCAGAGTAAGAAAACACTCAGTAGTAGTAGTAGTAGTAGTAGTAGTATAGTAGTAGTATTTGTAGTAGTATTTGTAGTAGTAGTAGTATTTGTAGTAGTAATAGTACTTTTTTTGCAGGTTACAGCGTGTTTGCCATCGGCGTGGCGGACGTGGACAGTAGTAGTAGTATTTGTAGTAGTATTTGTAGTAGTAATAGTACTTTTTCTGCAGGTTACAGCGTGTTTGCCATCGGCGTGGCGGACGTGGACAGTAGTAGTAGTATTTGTAGTAGTATTTGTAGTAGTAATAGTACTTTTTCTGCAGGTTACAGCGTGTTTGCCATCGGCGTGGCGGACGTGGACAGTAGTAGTAGTATTTGTAGTAGTATTTGTAGTAGTAATAGTACTTTTTCTGCAGGTTACAGCGTGTTTGCCATCGGCGTGGCGGACGTGGACAGTAGTAGTAGTATTTGTAGTAGTATTTGTAGTAGTAATAGTACTTTTTCTGCAGGTTACAGCGTGTTTGCCATCGGCGTGGCGGACGTGGACAGTAGTAGTAGTATTTGTAGTAGTATTTGTAGTAGTAATAGTACTTTTTCTGCAGGTTACAGCGTGTTTGCCATCGGCGTGGCGGACGTGGACAGTAGTAGTAGTATTTGTAGTAGTATTTGTAGTAGTAATAGTACTTTTTTCTGCAGGTTACAGCGTGTTTGCCATCGGCGTGGCGGACGTGGACAGTAGTAGTAGTATTTTGTAGTAGTATTTGTAGTAGTAATAGTACTTTTTCTGCAGGTTACAGCGTGTTTGCCATCGGCGTGTGGCGGACGTGGACAGTAGAGTAGTAGTAGTAGTAGTAGTATTTGTAGTAGTAATAGTACTTTTTCTGCAGGTTACAGCGTGTTTGCCATCGGCGCCATGGCGCGGCGTGGCGGACGTGGACAGTAGTAGTAGTAGTAGTAGTATTTGTAGTAGTAATAGTACTTTTTCTGCAGGTTACAGCGTGTTTGCCATCGGCGTGGCGGACGTGGATTTCTCTGAGCTGCAGCAGATCGGCTCCAAACCGAGCGACCGTCACGTTTTCGTGGTGGACGATTTCGACGCCTTCAACACGATCAAAGAAAACCTGATCACGTTCATCTGCGAGACGTCCACTTCCTGTGAGTACGGCGCACGCAGGAAGTGCCCCCCCCCCTCGCCCGTGACCCTTTCACACTAAAAGCCTCTGTCCTTCTCCACAGCCTGTCCGCTCATCTACCTCAACGGCTTCACGTCTCCAGGTCAGTGTGTTCACGCGCTCAAGCTCAGAGTCAAACTTTAACACTTCCACAACCATTTTAGAACATTTATCCTCGCCTGGATTTTTTTTCTTAACTTTGAATTTGAATTTATTTGATTTTGAGTTCATTTGTTTGGAGGATCAGCCCCTTCAGAGTCTCGCCAGTTCGTTTTGGAGGAGTCCTCATAGTTACAACAACAAAAGACGGATACAGAAGTGCAGACAGTTATGAAATGTAAATTCAAATAAACATCAAAACATCAATAAATCTAATCTGAACAAAAAACAAACAACAAACAAAAAGACAGAATTCAAATATAGTCACAAAATGCAACAAGATGAACGACAAAAATTCAACAAAATGATCAAAAACAATGACACGGGTTTTGTGCTTAAATCTCCCCATTTTACCCCTATTGAAGTGTTATACATCTTTTTTTTCACTACAATCTGTTATTTCACGATCTGCTGCTGGAGTCGTGTCACGTGGCTGGAATAAAAACTACAGGACCACAAATACACATGAAAAAAATAAAATAAAAATCACACTCTTTCACACAAAACACAGCAAACATGTAAAAACAACTTTTCTGGACATAAAAAATGTTGAATTTAGGACTTGAGCTACAAAAATGTAAAATATCAAGTCTGTAAATAAACAAAAAATCTCCTTTTTGCCTCAAAACAAAAAAAATAAAAATACTGTAATGGCCTCGTGACTTGACTGGTGCAGGTCATGGAAACAGCTGGAGTCAGGTCCAGGTCACAGAGACACATCACGTCCTGTATTTCCATGAGGTTTATTACATTTGGATTTGGACATTTTGCCTGAAATAAACCTGAAAATAAAAATAATAAGAGATGCACAATTACCCCTCACTACCAAGGTGTGTAATTTGGCATTTATTTGAGACTTTTTTCAGTTGTTCTGAACACAGACGCTCAGAGCATCGACCGTTTTGACTCAACACACTCTTTGACAAAGTTTGGACCAATCAAAATGGACGGAGCGACTGAGTTTGGACCAAAACAGAGTTCCTATTGGTGGTTTTCAGATTTTAGATTGTGGTGAAAGAAAACTAAATTCCCAAATATGGAACTTGATCATTTCTATTATTGACTTGACCCAGGACCCTGATGCCCTGCAACAAAAATCTAGGGTTGAATAATATTAATTATAAGATGTCCCCAACTGTATTAACTCATATTGACCTACAGCAGTGGTGCTCAATACGTCGATCTCGATCTACCAGTCGATCTCCAAGGTCGTGTGGGTAGATCGTCGTGTCTCGTCTCGGACTCGCGTTTGGACTCGGTCTTGTCTCTCACTCGAGGTCTGATCATATTTGATTCCGGCCGCTGCTGTTGGTAATAAACTTGTAGCGGGTGCAAGCGTGTTACCTGTTGTAGTACTCGGTGTAGAAGTGTAGTAGTGTAGTAATAGTAGTACTTGTAGCGGGTGCAGGAGCGTGTGGGGCGTCTCAGTGCAGCCTGTGCGCTCATTTGAAACCCGCGGAGACTCTACGGCGCATCACAAACACACACGCTCCCTATGCACGGCTCGTCTGCGACAGCGTGTGCCCTCGTGTACCAGCGTGCATCACAGGGCAGGTTCAACTTCCTAAACATCCTACCTGTCCACCTGCCTCACGTCAGCACGCCGCCCCTCGCCTTTTCACGCTCTCGCTCCTTCCTGCGTACAGCCAACACAAGCCCCTCCCACAGTGCGGCTGATTAGAAGAACAAGACCAAACGTGAAGCAAAAACCAGTCTAAATTTGTGTTCCAGTGTTGGCACAAAGCAGGTCTACAGCATAGAGCGGATCTACAGAACAGACCTACTGCCACATTTGGCTGAAGTTTGTCTAACAAAAGTGACAAATGCATCTGTGTGTTTGTCACGATGTGCGTTTGGTTTGGTAAACGTGCAGAGGCTGGTAAATATCACTGCAAAACCACAAAAGAATGAAACTCCAGTTTGGAACTTTAAAAAACAGGTTTAAAAATCTTCCTTCACTTTTTTCACAGTTTTGTGTAAAGTGCCAGAGGAAGTTCTCTTAAAGAAGAGGTTCTCAAACTGTGGGGGAGGGTCCAGAAAAGGGCCACAGAGTGTTTCAGTGCAGTTTGTTTGACTTTGTATTAGGTAGATCTTTTTGACTTGGTCATTTTGTAAGTAGATCACATGATGAAAAAGTGTGAACACCTCTGATCTATAAAATGCTGTGATGTCGTCTGAAACCCAACTATTGGACACTCGTTTTCCCTACATCATCACGCAGCATGTGACGCAGGATAATGCCGGAAATAACTCTAAGCAAATCTAACCCAAGCGGCGGATTTCAAAATGTTGGTTCATTCAAATCAATGGTGTCGAGCTCAGTGTCTCATGTTCCAGATTCTCCTTTAGCCCGGTGAGGTTCTTCCGGTGGCTCT